CCCAGGGACTGGCCTAAAGACTGATCATTAGCGATCAAGAAAAAGATAAGAAAAGATCCCCCTCTGTGTGTGTGTGTGTGTGTGTGTGTGTGTGTGTGTGTGTGTGTGTATAGGGGCAGCCAGGATCACATAACCTGTCTCTGAGAGCCTTGTTGTCTTTAGCATCTTTCCATCTGATCAAAATCAGTTCTGAACAAGCCCAAGGTTGAATGGGGGTGGAGGACATTAGTACACTTAATTATTCTTCTGGAATAAAAATGAAGTGTAGCAACGGCTTTGAGGGAAGGCAAGGCAGGAGCTTCTAATTGAAGTTCTGAGATGCACGCAAATGTTTGAGCGAACAATCATTATAATAAGTACATTAAAATAAAAACAAGTCGAAGGGTTGTATTTGCATAAATAATCCAAGGTGATAGTGTTGGATAGGCTAAGAATAAAAGGGACATAATCTTTCAAAATAGAGAAATCATAATCCATATGCCCACCAGTGGAGAGAGATGGGAAAGAGCAAATTAAGACAAAATATTTTTGGAAGATTTATTTATTGTAAGTATATATACATGGTGTCTGTGCGTCTCACACAGAGAGAGAGAGAGAGAGAGACAGAGAGAGAGACAGAGAGAGAGAGACAGAGAGAGACAGAGACAGAGAGAGACAGAGACAGAGAGAGAGGAGAGAGAGTTGTTACTGAGGGTGTATGTACTTCTTCATTCACAGAGAAGCTGAGCAAGGCATTTAAGTGTCCTCTGTCACTGCCTATTTGAGGCAGGGTCTCTCCCTGAACTTGGGACTCTTTCTTTCTTGGTTAGGCAGGAAGTTAGCAAGCACTAAGGTACTCCTGTCTCCTCCTTCTAGGAGCTGGTATTACAGATGTGTGCAGAATGCCCAGCTTATTATGTGGGCATTGGGATCTGAGCTGGAGTCCTTAAGATTTCTCAGCAGCCCTCTTAACTGCTGAGCCATCTCTCCAGCCCTCAGGCATAGTATTAATTACTAAAGTTATTACAAAGTTGAGCTCTGTTGTTCATTTTTCCTCCTACTTTAATTGAGTAGGAAGAATATTCCAGAAGCTCAGAAGTTCCCAACATATTCACCTTCACCAAAATACCCACAAGGTAAATACTACATCACGTCCCTGTTCCAGATGGGGAAGCTGAGGCACAATGAGTGTGAGTCACTTTGCACTGTTATGGTGCTTGCTTAGAGTCCTTGTGTCTGGTCTCATCTCCTCGGTTGGATCCATTCTTCCTGCCTCACTGTGTCCCCAAGCTTTAGAGACAAGCTTTCAAGCTTTAGTGTGAGAGTACTGATCCAGGGCCCTGCGCATGATGAGTTTCTTCTAGGGATCTGATGGGGCATTGCCCAGGTGTCTCTGTCTCTGTCTCTGTCTCTGTCTCTGTCTCTGTGTATGTCTCTCTTTCTCTCTCTGTCTGTCTCTCTCTTTCTCTCCCTCCCTTCCTCCCTCTCTCCTTCCTTTCTTTCTTCCTTCCTTCCTTCCTTGAGACAGTCTCTGTGTAATTCAGGCTGATCTGTACCTAGTTTTGTTGACCATAATGGCTGGGCTAACTTGTGGTGATCCTCTGCCTCTGACACTTTAGTGATGAAATTGCAGGCATGCCTAGATTTATTATTATATTTTTATCATATTCTTTCCCCTCCAAACTTCTCCAAGAGCCCCCCACTTCTCTACCCATGTACTTCATATTTGTTCTCTCTTTCTCTCTCTCATAAAATAAAATAAAATGAAAACAGGCAAACTAAAAGAAAGAAAACCAGTAAGTAAAGAAAAAACAAACAACAGAATTAAACAAAAAGTGCATACACATATAAAGGAATAAAAACCATGGAGTATGTTTACATTGGTCAACTACTCCCAGGCAAAGCAATGGTTCTTAACCTTCCTAACACTGTGACCCTGAATACAATTCTTCATGTTATGGTGACCCTCCAACCATAAAATTACTTTCTTTGCTACTTCATAACTATAATCTTGCTACTGTTATGGATCATAATGTAAATATTTTTGAAGATAGAGGCGTGTCAAAGGGTTCATGATCCACAGGTTGAGAACTGCTGTCATAGGGCCATCTCTGGAATATGGTTGATATTCCCAGTGATACTCAATTGGAGAAAACTGGTTTACCCTTTCCCAGAAGCTACCAATTGCAAGTCGCTTAGGACTGGGACTTTGGGTACACTTCCCATTCTCAGGGCTAGGCTTTTTGTCTGTATTTATGTCAGGGTCTCACACTTAGTCTAAGCTGGGCTGGGACTCAGTCTATAGACTGGATTGAGTATGGGCTACCATACTCAGGTGTTTGAGTCATTCTTTTTTTATAATTTCTTTTTTCCCCTTTATTTGTCCTGTGTGTCTTTCACATCATACATCTCCACCGCATCCATTTCCCCTTCCCTTTGTATTCACCCTCTGCCCTTGCAACCTCCCCTCCCCAATAAAATACAATAACATTTAAGAGGAAAAAAGAAAAATGAGAAAGAGAGAGAAGGAAAAAAATCAATCTTGTCATGGAAGCTGTAGCGCGACACAGTGAGTCATGCAGTAAACCCTTTTATCCATATGTCTTTACTTGCAAGTGTTCATTGCAAAGAGTCATTGGCCTGGTTCGAGGCCTCTGGTTTCTGCTACACTGTTGATGCTGAGCTCTCACTGGAACACCTCTTGGTTATCCTGCTGTTGCTGTTTATTGTGGGAATCCTACAGCTTTAGTCCCTTCACATGCTCTACCAGATCGCAGATGGGGTGGAAGTTGGTGCGGGTCAATTCATAACCCTGGGCCTGGGTAGTTGCAGGGTTGGTCAGCCCACCAGCTCCTCACCACCAGGGTGAGCTCTCCCGCATTGTTCAGGTGAGTTCACCCCTTGCAGCACTGAGCAAGGGGCGGAGCCAGTTCTGCTTTCATGTCCTCAGGGTCTGATCTTCCACACCTAACCCTCAGGGTCAGCTCTGCTGTGTTGCCCAGGCATGGCATAGAGGCCACTCTCCTGACTGCTGCAGCTGATGAGAGGGAGGACCAGCTCTCCCGCTCTTATAACCTCAGGACCAGCTCTCCCACCTGCCTCAGGCAGGTGAGGGGCAGGACCAGGTCCTCCATCCTCGCATTCCTGGGCCGGCTCACCTGTGCCCTCACCAACAGGGTCAGCTCCTCTGTGCTACCCCAGTGAGGCACAGGGCTCACTATCCCAGCTGGTGAAGGGGTCAGCTCCCTTGCCAACTTGAGGCAGGGGCAAGGGGGGTAAATGTTTTGGTCATTCTTGTATCAGGGCCTCACAGTGTAGCCTAGGCTTATCTGAAACTCACTATGTAGCCCAGACAGACCTGAATTATCAGTGACTCTCCTTTCTCTAGAATTACAGGCATGAACCACCATGTCCTGCTCCTAGGTTGCTTTTTTGTTTTGTTGTTGTTTTCCTTGGGTGGGGGAGTGAATATTCAGGAATGGGAGAGAAACAATGAGGCTTGTTTGCCTCTTTGGGTTCAGATGAACTGGGGGTGAAGTAAGTGAGACAATTCCTTCCAATTGAGAGACAAATATATAGAGTAGATGCGGCTGACACACACAGTGGTATTATTTAGACTTTCCTAAACAAAGAATTTTGTACTGTGTAGCAACATGGATGAAAGTTGAGAGCCCAGAGAGATGGCTCAGTAGCTAAGCAAGATAGCTGCTCTTGCAGAGGACCAGAGTTCAGGTCTCAGGACCATTACTAATGATAACCACCTGTGGCTCCAGCTCCAGGGGCTCTCATGGCCTCTTCTGGCCTGCAAGGGCACTGCGTTTGTGTGTACATAAAGCATGCATATATATCACATAGTGTAGGTCAGGCAGGGCTACATTATATAATGAAATCCTATTTTTAAAAAAGATTAGGTAGATCTCATAATTTTTTCATTGTTTTAGTCCCACAAGAATAAAATAGAGTTTTAAAGGATAAAGTATATGGGGATGGTGGGATGAATTTAGTGACTGTGGTCACAACAGAAAACAGCACAGAATCTGGGTGATGGAGTTCTCAGGCCTCCAGAAGTACCCCATTCTCCTTCACAGTGCCTCACACAGACTTTTCTAGAAGGTATCAAGTGTCTGTGAACAAGCCATTCCAGAAGGCAAACATCCTACTCATTTCTTACTAGAATATTTTAACAAACGTCCCGTGACAGCTGAGTAGCATCTGAGGTGAGGGGGTCCATGGTCCCATGGTAACTGCATCTCTTGAGGAGATAGCTGAATTAATTGTAAGCCATGTTGGACTGATGGCAGTGCCAGCACCAGAAATCAACAATTTGTCAGAGGAAATGGCTGTGGGGAAAATTCAAAGCCACTCTGGCTCACCTGGTGAGACTGTGTCTCAGAAGAAAAAATAAAATAAAATAAAAAGGACCAGGGAACGTAGCTCCATGAAAGACCACTTGCTTGATATGTGTAAGGCCATGGACCCGAACCCAGTACAGCGAGAGCAGTAAAAGATCACGGGTTGGCATCTTTCTTGAGACGCATGGCCAGTCTTGTTTGACACCAGTTATGCTGCAGTTAAAAATTAAGTTAAAATAAACTAAATTTAAGAAAATTTTAAAGGCATGCTGTGTTGCTTATGATTTGACTGTGGTTCAAGCCTAATTTTTCTTATGGCATACTTATCCTAAAGGCAAAGTGTCCAACACTGGCCCATGCTGTCTCCTTTACAATACAGCTCTTCTATACCTCATCACAGCACCTTCTGCTGGAATTTGAACAGGAACCCCAAAGGAAAGTTTCCGCAGACAGTGAAGTGGATGAAGGGATCTTTGAGAACCCCATGGTGAGCAGAGAAAGGCCTTAATGTCTTGTGGGGAGCAGAGTAGGAGCAGGGTGAAAAATATTGTCTGAGCCAATAAGAAAAGGATGGTGATCTTAGCCCAGGCTTCACACCTGTCACACTGCCCCCTCAGGGTCAGCCTGCTTACCAGAGTGACAACTTTCTCTGTTTCTCTAATTCACCAGGATGGCTACTTCTCTCACCGGCCCAAAGAAAAAGTTCGAACTGACAGCAACAATGAGAACTCAGTCCCAAAGGACTTTGAGAATGTGGACAACAGCAACTTCGCCCCCAGGACCCAGAAGCAGAAGCACCAGCCCGAGTTGGCAAAGAAGACCCCCAGCAGGCAGAAGGAGAGGCTGCAGAGGAAACTGGATGCCCAGGACAAAGGGCAGGGGCAGTCAGTCCTGGGCAAAGGCCCCAAGGAGGTGCTGCCTCCTCGGGAAAAGGCCACGGGCGATAGCAGCCAAGGGAAGGATCTCTCAAGACTCAGGAAGACCGGTGGCGGTGGGTCCCCCGAAACCAAGTCCGACCAGCCCCCCAAGTGTGACATCTCTGGCAAAGAGGCCATTTCAGCCCTGACCCGCGCTAAGTCCAAGCACTGCCGCCAGGAGATTGCAGAAACCTACTGTCGCCACAAGCTGGGGCTGCTGATGCCAGAAAAGGTAGCGCGGTTCTGTCCTCTCGAGGGTAAGTCATTTTCTCCTGTTTCTGGCCCCATCTGCCTGCCTTTTCAGGCCCTCTGAGGATTGCCACACTATATCTCAAACCCTGACCACAAGATCTAATTTGTCTGGAAACTCTGAACTCCTGCCATTTTTATAAGGAAAGTTTTACAAAATCACATTACATGTGTTAGTAATTTATCCTGTTCGATTTAGCAGAAGTACCTGCCCAACTTTGACACTGAGATATGACCTCATTGTCTACAGGTGTGTTGTGGTGTGTTCATAGCTATCCTGGAATGCACAGGCTACAGAAATCAGAAAAAAAAGAATCAATCTCTATTAAATCTTGGCTATTATTATTATTACTGTTATTATTATCATTACTATTACCTAAGCAATATAATCTAGCAGTTATTTATACAGCCCTGACATTACATAAGTCATCCAGAGAGTATTTGGAGCATACAAGAAAATGTACAGGTCATAAATAAACATCATACCACTTCATATAAGAGATGGGACACTGCTAAGTAGGAGTATTGTGGAATCTGGTATCCAACCCCCCATGGATTCTAGGGGACACCTCTTTGTGACTCTATGTATCCATACAGTTTATCAGATGGGATGTGGCCTCAAACTCCAAGTGTCTCGAGGGAAGGTAAGAAAGGGAGTCTTTGTATGCCCTTCACACTTTGTTCCCTCTTAGTCAAGTTCAGCCTGGCTTTTTGAGCTTGTAGCAGCAAATATGTAACTATGCAATGCTTCCTGTTCAATAGACAGATGTAAAAAGGAAGATCCTCCTTTCCCCATCGTCTGTGTGGTCCAGGTGGTTCCTGTCTGTGTTCTTGATTGCACTTGGCACTTAGTGTGCAGCAATAATTAAGTGGAATGCAATGTTTCCAAGAGCTGTTCTTAGCCAGTGCCAGGCAGGAGGCGCTTTGGAAATCTGAGCCATGATAATGCGGCTCCTGCCACATACAGAGCTTGCATGCTTGCTCCACGAAGGGCCTAGCAGTAAAGCTGTGTGGTTGTTGGGCCGTACATCACTACCACAATGACTGGAGTCTGCTCTTAGAGCAAACACACAAACATCGATGTACTTGCTCAGGTTACAGGGGCTTCAAGTTGCTTCCTAGCTTGTGAGGGAGAGGCTCGCATCCTTGACCATCTAATTTAAGATATGAATGTCATGAACTCAAAAATGCACATAACACATCTGACCCAGGGAATGTCCTAGCTCAGTTTACTCTACCTTAAATGTGCTCAGAAGGTTTTCATCAGCCTACAGTTCGGCAAAATTTACACTAAGATACTGTGTTAGCTGCGTTGTATGAGTTATTAGGGAATGCTGCAATGAAGGTGGGAGGCAGGAAGGTGTGGGGAGGTTTGTGTCCTCAGCATTGTCAAGTTGAAAAGTCCAAAGCCATGCATCACCACTCTATGGACGATGCATATTCGAATAATCAATGCTATGTTTCATCTCTGTGATTCCTTTGCTGATGAAACTGAGGCTCAGAGAGGTTTAGGATTTGGCTGCAGGCTTGTGGCTAACAGCCAGCAAAAGTATTGGAATTCAGGTTGCAAAACCTGAGTCCCCTTCGATAAGTTTGTTGGTCTTCAGGAGGAAAACAATTTCTACTTCAGCTCAAGTTGTACAAATCCCAAAGAAAATCTGCTGCCTGCGGGCTATGCCCTCCTCCTCTTAGTATAGTCAGAAGGGACAGTGCCAGCTGGGGAAACAAGGGGGCTTCTGACAGTGATGCTCGAGTGCTTGCATTTGGATCTTGGATTTCCTCTGCACAAGCTGTGAGACTTAGGGCAAGTTTCTTGCCCCCTCTCTGTACCTTGGTGGTATATTCATCATAGAGGGTTCAAGACGACACAGTTCAGCAAATGCTCCTGGCCAGTGATGCATATTACACAGATATTTGCCTTACAGCTCACTCCACAATCATCTACCACCGCACAGCAGAGTTTCCCACACTTCTCCTGGTCATGCAGAGATGTCTGGAAGCTGGTGTGAGCTCACTGGGGCTGCCTCCAGGGTTGGCTGTCTCTGCCTTGGCAAAGGTGGCATGCTCTCCCAGGACCTCCGAACTGGTTAATGGGGCTGGCATTTAAGACACATGGCACACCAGCCCCATGATGCTTTAATTTCCTGCACCATGGCCTCCCCTCTGCAGTAAATTTACTGTGAATAGACTAATTGCAAAATAACTCTAATTGGGTAGTTATCAATGAACAACTTCCCGTGAAACAGAATGGCTTACAATTAATAGCATTTAAGCCATAAACTATTCTTCTGCGGAAAGCAGGGATGTAATTACACCCCACAGGGAGACTGCCTTTGCCTTCTGGAAACCATGACACCCGGAATTCCCTCTGCTAGGTAGGACTGGAGCTTCAGCCTAGTGGTCTTTTTATATTCTGCAAAATGAGGAAGCGAGCTAGGGTAGAGGGAACATGTGACATCAGGCGATACAGGAACCTAGCTGTTCCTCCCAACACAGGCATTCACTGGGCCTCGCCCAGACCATAGCCACTGTGGGCCAGTTCCTCAGGCCACTGGGCAGATCCAGAGGAAAGGAAATTATTTTCTACCTTGACTTGTGGTGAAGGATTCTTTGTGTGGGCCCTCTACCTTGCCTGTCCCCCAGCGTCATCCCCTCTCAGCCCAGGGGAAGATCTGGAGAAGATTTGCTTTCTGCAGGGACATTATTGCTCTGCTGACCTTTGCTCTCCGCCTCCTGTGGAGGACAATCTGAGAAGAGGTGTATAGAAAGCTCCCCTCATTCAGTTTGAGAATACCTGTTTTCCTGCTTGCCCATGAACAAGGGGAGAAGACTCCTGTGGATAGTACATCAATGAACATGTAGAGATTCCAAGGGATTCTGTGGGAAGACCTGTGCCTAAGTGTGCCCTTTGGGGATGTTGTCTCCAGACCCCCAGCAAAGGCTTCCTCCTATAGCTCCTGTACTCACTGCAGTCACCAAGCTGCCAACATGCGCGCGCGCATGCGCGTGCACACACACACACACACACACACACACACACACACAGAGAGAGAGAGAGAGAGAGAAAGAGAGAGAGTGAGTTACATCCTTTGGTCTCTAGAACTACTCCAGTCACTCTGACTGAACCTCTCTGTGTGTTAGGGAATTAACTTTGTAAGAGCAAAGGTCAAGGGCAACTTGAACTGGAAAAAAAAAGTGAACTTGGGCTGCTAGGATCTAAGCCACAGCCCTGTCTTTACCTCACTCTCCAGTCTCCTGGGGTTTCAATTTCTGACCTTTATGGTGGGGGCTTGGCAAAGCACAGTAACTCACAGCATATTGTCCAAGAAGCAGAAGCAAAGCCTGAGCCAAGGGTGCTCTCTCTCTGTCTCTCTGTCTTCTCTGTCTCTCTGTCTCTGTCTCTCTCTCTGTCTCTGTCTCTGTCTCTCTCTCTCTCTCTCTCTCTCTCTCTCTCTCTCTCTCTCTCTCTCTCTCTCTCTCTCTCTCTCTCTCTCTCTTGGTTTTTTTTTTCAAGACAGGGTTTCTCTGTGTAACAGCCCTGGCTGTCCTGGAACTCACTTTGCAGACCAAGCCGGCCTCAAACTCAGAGAGATCGGCCTGCCTCTGACTCCCGCGGGCTGGGAATAAAGGCGTGCGCCACCACTGCCTGGCCCTTCTTCTCTTTTTAACTTGTCTTGCTGTGCAGCCTGTGGGTCCACCATAGGCACCACTCACAGTCAGGGGTTTGCCTTCCCCTTCTTAGTTAACCCTGTCTGGAAACACCCTCCACCACACCCAGGCACTGCTGCCCCAGTCTCCCGCTGCTTGTCAGTCCTCAAACTGGCAACAGGGATAAAGCACACTCAGTCCCATGCCTCACACCTGGACAAGCCACTAGGACTTTTCTAAGGCACTTGGCTGTTAGAACTGAGGAGAAAGCCAGCCACCCAGAGCACTTTCTACACAGCTAACATCAAAAGTAACCCATCTTCCTCTCTCCCTCCTCCTCATCTTTCCTCAGAGATGTCAGACTACTGCCCCTGCTGGAGTGCTGACGCTCTCCCTTTAAACTGTCTAACCAGAGTGTTATGCCTGAAAACAAAGCTGAAAAGTTTGCAGGGACAAGGAAAGCATCTGAGACACTGCGAGCAGGAGGCCTTTCCTGGTTGCTGTCAGGCACGTCTTCTGAAAACTTCCCGTATGAATAAGCACTTCGCAAACCAAGTGTATTTTTAACAAGGGGATCATGGTTAGATGGAGTCTCTGGCATGTGCTCACAATGACCTCTATAGACCAAGGGATTGAGAACAGGCTTCTCACTCTGCACTTGTGAGCCGAGGCTTGGAGCAGTGCTGCCTAGAGAGAGCCTGACTAATCGGCTTCCCTTTTGTTCAAGGCTGGAAGGGGATTTTGGAGAAGGATAAAGCTCCGGCATGCCTGGGAGGCAGTGCAAGCTAGGGTGCTTTACTGGCCTGGAGCACATGGGTGCCTGTCTCCTCTTCCCTGGCTACCTCACCCCATAGCACAGCAACTCTCCCTCCCCCAAGTAACCATGGAGACACTAGCATCTGGGCCCCTGCTGCCAGGAATGTCACAGGCAGTTTGAGAATACTAGTAATTTGGATTGTACAGTTGGCACGCTTCTTTTCTCATGGATTTGAACAAAATTGTCGATGCTTCTAGCACCTGGCACCGGGCTTGATATTCATCAAGTATCTGCTGCTATTGAGTGGTTAAGATAAGAGAATGAGTGAAATCCTACCTCATGTCCCCTGGCTTTTTCACAACCCTGGGGAAAGTGTAGGATACCCAAAGAATGCCATGGAAACTCATCTTGAACAGGAACATTGATCTTCCCCCAGCACACTTCAATATTACCTAGTTCGCTAAGCCAACGAATGTACTTAACAGTGCGTTGGCCACTTCTCTTAGCTGTGACAAAAGTGCCTAAACAACACAACTTAAAGGAGAGATGGTGTCTATGGCTCTGTTTCAGACTTGGTGGTCCCTGGTCACTTGGCTTCATTGT